CCTTTTATAAGCTTATTTTGTTGAGATATCGCCATATCAAGTCAATGTCGTTTTCCCATTTTAAACGGTCTTCTTCATTACACTTTTCATGCTTATGGTATAAATGTTTCTTTATCATTATTATCGCTCTATCTATATTTCTATCAAGTATATAAATTGCATTGTATCTATATTACACTGTACAATAGAATCGTCTAATTTAAGAAAATATTCTCACACCCAATTGTCTGATCTTTCTTGAGCTGCCATTATATCCACACAGAGTCGCGATATGTTACTAAATACGAAATAACGATTATGCCAAGAAAAATATTTAGAGAAACTGTTTAGGAAGGGTCAATGAAAAGAAAGAGGGGAGAAAGAGAAAGAGAGAGAGAGAGAGAAAGGGAGGGAGAGAGCGGAACATGTAATTTTTCACTAAAGTGTAAACATTATTGTATTGATTGAATTTTTCAGTTAAAAGTCACGAAATTTTGTTTCTGCTTATTCGATTTGTGTTGTTAAACTTTTGAATTAAAATTAATATTATTTATTTTACTCATCTTGATTAGAAAATAAAGTTTAGCCATGAAAATTAGTATATGTTACAAAATTTGAAAATATGTTTCTTGATTTTTTTTATATGATTATTACAACATCGATTATTATGCGTCGTCTACAATATGCGGAGTAAGCTTGGTTTAAGAAGTAAGAGTAAGAAATTGACCAATCACAATTGAATGTGAGAAAAACAATCGACTGTGATTGGTCAATTTCTGACTCCTACTACTTAAACCAAGCTTACTTCGCATATTGTAGACGCATTACAGTTATTGTAATAAACATAGAAGTGAATAAATTAAATTTAGTAATAACTGAAAGGTAAAACTACAGAAAAGGAGAGCAATCGCCGATGATCTTTATATTGACATATGTGGTCAAGGTAATCCTAAATAATGTCCAATAGGATTTCGCCGGCGCTTATGCTTCGTTAAAAAGTTATTAACAATCAAAGTTGATTATTTTCCCACTTTGCGTGGAAAGTCGACGACTAAGCAGGCTGGGGAGAGGGGGGGATGAGATAGACCGACTATGGGTGCACGACTTTCCACACGCGAAAGTTATACATCCCAAATATAAATGGGATGGATCTTGTTTCACGTGGAGTTTCGTGCGCCCCTAGTCGGTTTACTCCATCCTTCCCCAAATGTTCAGAGTCATCGACTTTCAAAGTAATAGAATGTTCGAAAATGATGTTGAGACGCAAGAAAAGTAAAATTGCTGTTTAAACGTTATTCTAATAGTATTGAGTTTATTTCTGAATTGTATTTTAAAATACAATTCCATTACGAAAAATATTTTTGTAGGTTCATAATAAGAACTTTAGTGGTACATTAAAAAAAATGAAAAAAGTCATAAAAATATAAAACGTTTTATTTCATTACTACTTTCCATATTTAATATATTTTAATGGTTTATTAATTTCATCATAACTTACTGTTAGTTATTAAAGTTAAAAGATTTACATTTAATTTTATCGATTTTATTTCTAAATAAAAAATAAGAATGTATATTGAATACTATTACTTGCAAACTGGGCTCATAAATTTACAATTAGACCAGAAAGTAAGAATAAATGCGATTACAAGTGTAAAGACAATGCAAATATTAAGACATATAATTATTATCATAAAATATTTTTACGCTGAAAAAATTTATTCTTTTCGAAAACGATTAACGTTAAAAAAGATAAGTTAATAAAAAAAGAAAAGATAAAACCCCTATAAGAGAGCATATAATATTATTTCATATTAAGTAACATTTTAAACATAATCTTAGAATGTTAATTGTAACATTTTAAAAATATTTTACTAAAATTATATAATATTTTAAATAAAATTCTCGAAATATTAATAGAAGATTATATGTCCACCCCTGATAATATTATATGATTTTGAAAAGTAACATTATTAAACATTACCATAATGTTGTATAAACATTAAAAATTATAACAACATTTATTTTAATTTGTAAAACTGCTACATCTCTTTAGCATAAGTATACGTTTAAAGACTATAAATGATTTTGGCGCGCAGTTGTAGAACTGGATATGTACTTAAGATTATATAACCTCTATAGAATACTCCCGTAATATTAAAAAAATATTTATGATATTCTAGAAATATTATAATAACATTATTTTAATTTTTTAAATAATATCCATATAACATTCTAGGAATATTTTGCGCTTATAGGGACGGTCATATGTTATAATAAGTAAAGCATATCTCTAATTATTAATGGATTTAATAAATAAGACTACTTTTGAAATCGTATTTTCTTAATTAAAATGAGTTTTATTTTCGTTAATCATATTGCAACCTATTTATACATATCAACTTTTAAACAAATACGAATACGATATCCGAAACACGTTTTAATTATTTACGTTTATTTTACCTGGACTAACGGTAGCTACTCGGCGCTAAGACAATCGCAGCGCAATAACTATGATACAATCACTTTTAGAATGTTAAATGGTTATTTCTAATAATTTAATGTAACTAACCTTAAATAAAATGAATATTACGTATAGAATATTTATCAATATATATATATAATCCGGAGAGAGATTTTAACATTATATATATATATATATGTATAATTTAAATATCTCTCTCTCTCTCTTTCTCTCTCTTTCCATATGTATTGACAAATATTCTAATACTCGAACTATACGTATATATTGTAATATCGTTATAGAATTTATTTATTTTCTAACATAATTTTTATCTTAATCCTTTATGACACAGAAAAAATCTGTTTATAAATATTACGCAAAATATAATGTAAAATATTACGTAAAATAGTATTAAAAGGTTCTGTCGGAATCAGTCGTCTTCTTTTTCACCTTTTTTTTACAATTGAATATCAAAATCCACTAATTGACAACATTGTTGCAACACGTTCACGCTATCTTGTTACAACATTCCGTGCCGCTTTCGCGTACATCGTCCAATATGCTTCTTACAATATATACTGGATGTCTGGTAAGTTTTGACAAAGCGCTTGTGTGTAGATAGAGCGGACTAAACTGAGTCGAAAAGTCCTCCACAATTTTGCAATTTTTGCAATAGTTAACGAGATATTAGTTACTAAAAATCGCTGAATATTGGTTTTCAATAATTTTTTACTCAAATACTATTAACTATATCGAAAAACAGCGAAAGACAAAAATTGTTTATTTTCTTCTCACAAAATCTGAGAATTTTTTCAAAATTTTTCAGAACTTTTTAATATCATATTTTTTCATGTAGGTAAAAATAAGAAAATACAGTACTAAAAAGTTGAAAAAAAATTTTTAGAATTCTATGAGAAAAAAATAAACAATTTTTGGCTGTTGTAATTTTTCTTTTTAAGTTTAAAGTTAATAGTATTTGAGTAAAAAATTATTGAAGACCAATATTTGGCAATTAGTAATTAATATCTTGTTAACTATTGCGAAAATTATAAAATCGTACAGGACTTTTCGACTCACAATCAGTTTAGTCCGCTCTACATACAAGCGCTTTGTCAAAACTTACCAGATACTCTATATAGCTAAATAACATGAATTTGCATAAATAAACAATAACTATTTTAAATAATATCAGTATTATTTGTCAGTATTATCTAGACATACTTTGCATCTCTAGTACAAGTACATGTCCCATTTGAAACGTCGCGTCGGACGCAATTATCATCTAGACCTGTTCGTTACTCCAAAAAATATTTTAAGTAAAACTTAACACCTTGAATTAAATCACAATGGAACTTATTCACCTGATGAGCGAGTTATAGGAAGTGAAATTGTAGTGCGTAAAGGTTTCCAAAAACCCAAGCAAAACAAAAAGTCATGATAATATCAAAATGACGTCAATACATCAATCAATGAGATTTCATTTTCATGATTTTCTTGATTTCCAGGGGTTTGCCAGATTGTACCGTAATTATGAGAGCTTGTAGCCACATTTTCTGCTGCCACGAATTGATGCATCATTCTGTGCACATTATTAACGTTAGTTCCTTCTTGAAATCTTGAGTAACCATTCGTAACATGTCATTGATAGCTAACTTAATCATTCAAGAGCTTTCTTACTACAGAATTTAAGTCATGAATTTTGATATCACTGATATCAGTAACATTTGATATATTGTAATAATAACACGTACCTCTGCTGATCTACCTGATATCCAAGAGCATGCCAATTTGTACCGTCATTATGAGAACTTGTACTCACATTTTCTGCTGCCATGAATTGATGCATCATTCCGTGCATATTATTAACGTCAGTTTCTTTTTGCAACCTTGAGTAATCATTCGTAACATGACATTGATAACTACTTAATCTTTCGAAAGCTTTCTTACTATAGAATTTTGAATCGCTAATTTTGATATCACTGATATCAGTAACACTTGACATATTGAAATAATAACACATACCTCTGCTGATCTACTTGATATCCAAGAGCTTGCCAATTTGTACCGTCATTATGAGAACTTGTACCTACATTTTCTTCTGTCACGAATTGCTGCATCGTTCTGTGCACATTATTAACGTTAATTCCTTCTTGAAATCTTGAGTAGCCATTCGTATGACATTGATTGCTACTTAATTATTCGTGAGCTTTCTTATTATAGAACTTTGAATTGCAAATTTTGATATCACTGACATCAGTAACACTTGACATATTGAAATAATAACACATACCTCTGCTGATCTACTTGATATCCAAGAGCTTGCCAGTTTGTACTGTCATTATGAGAACTTGTATCCACATTTTCCGCTGCCACGAATTGATGCATCATTCCGTGCACATTATCAACATCAATTCCTTCTTGAAATCTTGAATAATCATTCGTAACATGACATTGATAGCTACTTAATCTTTCGAAAGCTTCTTACTATAGAACTTTGAATCGCTAATTTTGATGTCACTGATATCAGTAACATTTGACATATTGAAATAATAACACATACCTCTGCTGATCTACTTGATATCCAAGAGCTTGCCAGTTTGTACCGTCATTATGAGAACTTGTACCCACATTTTCTGCTGCCACGAATTGATGCATCATTCCGTGCACATTATTACCTACAGTTTCTCCTCTAAATCTTGAATATTCATGTACATGATTTTGATATTGAGGTTTTAAATCTTTTATTTCTGTGTTGCTATAAAATATGCTAATAGTGTAACTATTGTAATTATTGCAGGTTACAGTTAAATATTTCGTAGAGATAGATAGATAGATAGATAGATAGAGAGAGAGAGAGAGAGAGAGAGAGAGAGAGAGAGAGAGAGAGATTGTGAAACGTTGAAGTAAATTAAGAAATATACTAAATTTTTAATGTATTAATAGTATACATAATATATTAATAACTTAAGAAAAAAAACGTTAATATTTTTATTACATCACAGTTACCTTCGTTGATCCTGATTTCGAGGAGCTTGCATATTTATATTATCTTGGTGGGAACTTGTGCCTGTATTTCCATCAGCTATAGATTGTTGTGTCATTCTGTTCCCGTTATTATCTTCTGGTCTTTTATGAGACCACAGACATTGATCTCTTTGAAAATGATTGTGATATATTAATTCATCTATTCCGTAAAATATGTGTATATTAATATTGCAACGTTTGCACCTTGCACTAAATTTTTCCTCATCGATTTTAAAATATTGCGATAGCAAATTATCGGCAATTTCTTTTCGTATCATAGCTCTTATTTCTTGACGATGGGAATCTCGCAGATGATCTTTTAACTTTGGTGTGTATGATACGAAAAATGAATTGTTACAAAATTTACACTTTTCTTTGTATAAGCCTACTTTGTCGAAATATCGCCATATCAAGTCATTATCGTTTTCCCATTTTAAACGATCTTCTTCATTCCATATTTCGTGCTTATGGTATAAATGTCCCTTTATTGTTTTTATTATTGTATTTTTATTTATATTATTTATTTCATAAGTTTGATAACAGCTATCTATGTTGCACTGTGTAGTAAAATTGTATAATTTAAGAAGATGTTCCCACACCCAACTGTCTGATCCTTCTCGAGCTGCCATTATATCCGCAGAGTATCGCGATGTATTACTATAAATACAAAATATCGATTAAGCCAAGGAAAATGTTCAGAGAAGTTGTTTAAGAAAGGTTGATGATAGAAGAGAGAGAGAGAGAGAGAGTAAAGCATATAATTTCTCACTAATATATAAAGATTATTGATTGAATCTTTTATTTAAGAATCATATAGTTTAATTTCTACTTATTCGATTTGTGTTGTCATTCAATCAGATTAAGATTAATATTATATATTTTACATATCTTGACTTGAAGATAAAATTTAACATTAAAAATTGGTACAAGTTCATAAAATTTGGAAATGTTTCTTGACTTTTAACTGTACTATATGTCTACTTCAACATCATTTATCACCGTTATTGTAGTGAACATTGAAATAAATAGATTAAGTTAATAAGAAATTTTTGATGTCTTTTACGATACCTTAAAAATCGATCTTTTTGAAAATGAGTGTGATGTATTAATTCATGTGTTCCGTAAAATATGTTTATATTAATATTGCAACGTTTGCATTTTGCAATAAATATTTCCTCATCAATTTTAAAATATTGTGATAGCGAATTATCGGCAATTTGTTTTCGTACTAGAGCTCTTATTTCTTGACGATGGACAGCTCGCAGATGATCTCTTAACTTTGGTGTATATGATACGAAAAATGAATTATTACAAAATTTACACTTTTCTTTGTATAAGCCTACTTTGTCGAAATATCGCCATATCAAGTCATTGTGGTTTTCCCATTTTAAGCGATCTTCTTCATTCCATATTTTGTGTTTATGGTATAAATGTCCTTTTATTCTTATCATCTCTCTACATTTTTTATTAATTTTATAAGTTTGATCACAACTATTTATATTGCACTGTACAATAAAATTATCTAATTTAAGAAGATGTTTCCACACCCAATTGTCTGATCTTTTTCGAGGTGCCATTATACCCACACAGAGTCGTGATACGTTACTAAAGACGAAATAGCGAATATGCCAAGAAAGATGTTCGGAGAAACTGTTTAGGGTAGGTCAATGAAAACAGGTAGAGAAAAGAGAGAGCGAAACAGTAATTATTCACTAAAATGTAAATATTATTGTATTGATTGAATTTTTCAGTTAAAAGTCATGAGTTTCGTTTCTGCTTATTCGATTTGTGTTGTTAAACGTTTAAATTAAAATTGGTATTATTTATTTTACCCATCTTGACTGGAAAATAAAATTTAACTATGAAAATTAGTACAGCTTACAAAATTTAAAAATATTTTTCCTGCCTTTTTTAATATAATTATTACAACATCGATTATCATAGTTATTGTAATAAATATAGAAGTGATTAAATTAAATTTAGTAATAAATTAAGAATAAAAGTACAAAAAAGGGGAGTAATTGCCAATGACATTGGCAATAACGTATGTTGTTGATTCTGAGTAGCCTCCAATAGGTTTTCGCCGGCACTTGTGCTTCGTTAAAAAGTTATTAACGATCAAATTCGATAATTATTTCCCCACTTTGCGTGGAAAGACGGCGACTCTAAGTAGTGAGGTGGAGGAGATGAGGTAGATCGACTATGGGCGTACGACTCCACACGAAAGTTGTACCTCCCGATATATGTATATGGGATGGATCTCGTTTCGCGTAGAGTTTCGGGCGTCCTTATAGGGTCTACCCTAGAGATCTTAAAAGTACAGAACGGACAATACCGACTCGATCAGTGATTGGCTCTGCCATGTTAACAGATCTTGCTGTCCGTTGAAATTCCTCAGGTATTTGAAATTGCAGAGTTATTAAAAGTTTAGATAACAATGTTTGAGTATTTTGATTCAATCTTGTGATTAGTTTGCCATGTAGCCAATAATTTAATAATTTTTTCATTATGCCCAAACATACAAGATGCATAAAATCGAGGATAAATTGAGAAACCATATTTATTGGAGGTCTAATATTGAGTAAAGGCGAAACATCAGTGTGATGATTTGAATTGCTTTGTTGACGAAAAGACTCAACATTTCTCTCTTCACAATTATCAATAGGAAAAATTATTCGATTTTGTATCCATTCTTCTGGTACTGTACATCTTTCACATCCCCAGTAGGTTCCGTGACCGTTGATTTTTTTTAGAAAGGCACGCGCAGGAGTATCACATACAAATGCTTTAATAGAAACTTGGAATAATCGTTCACCTACCAATAATCCAGTTTGTTGTAATTCATTTATTTCAATAATGAAATCTTTTAAAAATTTATCCAAGCTATCAGGTTTTTTGTTACCTGAAAAAATAGCAACTGGAAAAGGTTCATAAGAATTTCTTTCATTGTAGACTTGGCACAATATAGGCCAAAATTGTTTGAAGCTTGATCGAAACAATTGCAGCCGTCTACATTATTAATTATTAAATGGATTATGTCTTCCTCGTTTAAGTTTGGATTAATAGACTGTTTAAGGTTATTAGTAGCACCGAAATAAATAAATTCATCTCCGTTATTAAATATTTGAATATTATAAGACGCTTTCGTCATTCCAAGGAAAGTTTTGGCACATTTTGGTAATTGGGGTAATAATCGACGTCTCAGAATTGTGAGCAACGCTTCTAATTTAGTATAAGGAATCGTAGGATTTCCTGACAAAGCCCATCCTCAAAGTTCTTCGATCTCAGTATTTTCATTTACAGATTTATCAGAATCAAAAAAATCCTTTTCTGTAATATTGGCTTCACTAATTCTCACCTCGATATCACTTTGCTCTTCATTTTCATCATCTACATTATATAGTCTTCGTTTTCCTCTGCACTTTCATTGTCTTCGTTTTTTTCATTACATCTCTCTATTCTAACCTCAACAGATTCATCAACATCCGAGTTTGAATTATTTACGCCTGATGCTCCACGATCGTTTACTAATATACTTGTAGAAATATTAAGTGATTCTTCACCATTTATTTCTCTTAATAAAATATTGTCGATCTCACGATTACTTTGAAAAGAGCGTACTCGCTGCCTTTTTTTGTATTTATTTATTCGTAAACCTATTAATTCACGTATTCGTACACGCTGTAATTGTTCCTTGTCCATTTTAAATAAATCAAAGAAATATAAAATTTAAGTGAACGTTTTATAATTTGTTGATAATATATTATTCAATTTTTTTAATGTTCACACAGTTAATCCTACCCTATTTCCACATAGCAGCTTATACGTAATGCAGGACCTGCTTACGAATATCGAAAATGAATATCGAAAATGAATATCGAAAAAGACAACGAACATGCACTTTTCACAAAATCATCTTGAAATCGGCAATATTTTATTACGAGAAATAGAAATAAAACCATTAGTTGTAGATCACTCTTTAAAAGAATTCCTAATAGATTAAATTCAATTGATACTTAAAAAAGATAAAACAAATGCTAAAGAATTTTGTGATTCGTATCATTTAATGGAAAATACTATAATTATCTAAACATAAAAAGTGATCCAGAACTAGTGCCTGATCCACATTCAGTGCTTTTACCCTAATTCAGACTCGGATATTGATGAAGAATATCTGCGTAGATGAAACGTAAACAATTTATACACATGTACTGATCTTTCAGCTATTTACTTATCAATGTTTGGTAATAAAAAAAATTAACTTTATGACGAATTTAAATTTTACTTCATTATGTTAATATTTTAATATTTGCCTTTCTAAATATTTTAGGAATAAAAAATAAAATATGTATGTACCTATATACGTACTATACACATTTTATACACATTTGGATTTGCACTGTAAGTAATGAGTGTGTGAAATAAGTGTCTTAATATACTATATATATATGATTTCGTTTTCCGTGTAAAAATAACTATACTGCACATAAGAATGGATTTATACATATTTAAACGCGTAATATAGTGTTGTTTTTACATAGAAGACTAAATTACACATATAAATTAAGATACTTATATTTATACACACTTGGATTTGCAGTGTGTGTGTATATATATATATATATATAAT